CAGGTTGCGTGATCTTCAGCGACTACTGTACTTTTTAAATTATTATTTATTTCCCCTGATATGCCCAACCTATTTAACCCATATTACCACCGGTCCCGTATTACAGAAGGATTGGGTTTTCGCGCGCTGCAGTGGACCCTAAATGTACCATTTGCCATATATCCTTTAGAAATAAGTGGAGTATCAAGTATGAGCGTTAAGCCACAGCCTACGGTTCGAGTGGAAGTTTTAACGCGGCTTTATGGGAATTAGCTGTATTATTCCCCTTTCTCTCCGTTTTTGATATGCGATTGACTGAGGCAGTTAGGATTTCGCTTGATTTCCACGATAGAGGTGTCATCTGTCATTTGTTGTCAGATTGGTCAATGACTAATAGATTTAATTAAATATAATTATCGCGGTTCACCATGATCGCAACTCGCTGAGTATTAAAACTGATTGTATGAAGATAGCAATGAGTACTACTCGCTCATTCTGAGCTTGTCATGTGTGGCCCGATTCTTGGTGTTTGGTTTGTGTATTGTTTGTTTACGTCAACGTGTCTGCCTTGCGACGTTTCTGGTTTCACTCCATTCCGTTCTCCTGTCATTAATGCAAATCACTTCGTTTTTGCTCTGCCACCTTCCATCAGGTTACCAGATGACACCTTCTACGATGGTGGCCGCATCATTTACTCCATTAAGCCTTTAAAAGATGTAACAGAACAAGGATTGACCAAAGAGGAGCCCATTCCGGATCAGCTGGAAAGGGACGACCTCGTTCTGAAGTACGTCATTAAGCAGGTCGGTAGAGTTTCAGCACGCACCCTGCTGGATTATGTAAGCGACAGGAACGCATGCACATTCCAAATACCACAGGTAAGTCTTGCTCTGCCCTTGACACTAACCCCCCCCGCAAAAAACTTTAGGACTCAATCAATATGGTGGATTGCATTTTGAAGAACGTAAACAAGAGCAATTACGTATTGCTGGGAAGAACCGCAGCCTACATCAAGGAACCCCAGAAGACCGTGGGACACAAACTTTTTTGGATTTATCGTGGCTTCTTGGCCAGCTGTCGGCCGCAATGGAAAGTCAGGCTGAACATTGATATGGTGAGTCCCCTTCTCTAGTCAGCAGCGGTTTGGGCTACCTGCAGATAACAGCCGACTCTAAAACGTTAGGGAGATTCGTTCAAAGTCCGAGAGTCAAATGCTGCTTTGGCGACTTCGGTGTAGGATTATATCGCAACAGCAAATCTTTTTGCGGTGTTTACTTCCACCGATTTACCCTTAGGAAACCCCATACTATCAATGAATTTTTCGGAGAAATTGTGAACGTTTGGGGAGATACCACTATTTTATTCTGTGTCAAGTCCAAACGCGATCCCCCCTCTAAAAGCACAGAGTTGCGCCTCTGGCTTGCCTTTCATTACCGGCCACGATTAGCAGATGTCGTATCAATTTCCCTAACTTACAAAACTATATTCTTACCATGTAACGTCTGCATTATTGAAGCCTCTTACTTACGGGTGCTTGATTCGATGAGCTCTTGTTGTTGGATGAATCGGCTCCACAGATGTCACGGATAGCAGCGATCGGAAGCGAGATCCTCGCAAATGTCAACCCAATACTTGTTTCAATGTCGCAAACCGTAAACAGTTACGAGGCCCTTGCGTTAGACGTCTAGCTTGACAGTGTCTAGCCATCTCTTCTGTTGGTCGCCATGTCGGTAACTCCAGTTTAAAATACGAGAAGGATTCACGACCACTTTGCAGAGGTCCGTCGATGTCTAGCACAGGACATGTCATAACCATTACAATCAACGACGCTGTATATATGACGCTAGACTTTGTAGTTGAAAATACCTGCGATATAGCTCAACATTGGAAGGTCGATTCTGCCAGGAGAACCTTAATATACGTCGAAGATTTCGAGCGATAGAATGTCTGTCTTTCTGACAGGCAATGTTTCGCAAGCATATACTAACACCGCTCTGGTGGATGCTCTGTATATCAACAGGTTAGTGCGTAAGCTGATGTCTGAGCGTGACCGGAGTGTTTTGGATAGCAGTCTAAATACGTTTCGAGCCTGCGCGATTCGATTTCTGATTTCTTCTTTGGTCTATCCGTTGACTAGTTTATTGGGGCAAAAATCACGGAAGCAGCTAACTTCTTCCATGGGTTGGCCACTGATAAACAGTTGTTGTACAGTGCCAAGATACGTAGTCAGGAGCTTCATCTTGCGTATATTAATCGTAGGGCCAACAGTTGCAGCGAGGCTGGTAATTCCGTCTAACATTGGCTGTCATGGGAGGTATTACCAAGTACGAAAATGTCATCGGCACATTCCAAGTCAGGTACTCTAAATTTAGGGCTCATTCCACATTCATTGTCAGGTAGAATTGATTAATACATCACCCAGTCGATCAAGAAGTTGAAGAGAGCTGGGGAAGGGGGACATCCTTGTCGAACTCCAGAAGTCAGTTGGAAAGAATCTGATTCTTCACCAAGGGCTCTTACTCCGGTTGATGTTGTGCTTTAGTAGGCTTTAATCACATGGAACCACTTTATTGGGAGTCCGTCAGTAACGCTTCTCTATCGTCGATGGAATAAACGACTGTCTTGAAGTCAATGAAACATGCCTTTGTGATCTGTCTATTCTGGTGTCGATTTTCCAGGATGTGGCGCAGAATGAAAAACTGGTCAACGCATCCTCTACCTGGACGAAACCCTCCTTGGTTAGGACGAGTGAACAAATTGCTCAAATATTTTAACAAGGATGGTCGCACACATTTTGGCGGCTATAACGATGAGATTGATGCAGCAGTAATTTGATCATACGGACATATCACTGCGTTTCGGTATTGACAAGAGGATGGTCAATGACTAGTCAGTGGGGATGATTTCTGTAGACCATATAGTCAAGTACAGTTGATGGAGTGATTCTGTCAGAGCAAAACAGCCAGTTTTGTTGATTTCTGCTAGGATGCCATCCTCACTCGATGCCTTCCGAGCTTTCAATATTTGCAATGCCGTTTCCAATTCTGATCTCGTAGGTGGCTCGCAGTCAGTATTGTATGGAATTCCAGTTGATAGCTGTAGGTTCGCAGATGAACGCATAGACTCTCTGAAGTGCTCCCGTCATCGATCGATTTTGCCAACCATATCAATTATCACTTGACCCAAGTTATTCCGAACGGTAGTAAAAGATGGTTTATGTTTGACAAATGCTTTACGTAATTGGGCATCTGTTCCCGATAAACAGGAGCAGTATCTCACAAACTAGTGCCCTTTCGAAGTCGGTGTATGTCGTTGACTTTCTAGCCAGCCTTCAGATTGCCTGTGCTGTCCTTTGTTGGTTGTCAAATAGGCCACTTTCACGCATCAACTGATGACGGCGCCAACTGGCAGGATTGCCTAGTTCTCCTAAGCTGTTTCTTGATGTGTCGTCAGAAGTTCTTTGCGTATAAGCACACCTGGATGTCTTTCGTTGGCTTACCTAGAAGTCAGACTTCACAGCAGATTGGGATTCTCTTTCAAAAGAAACAGCGTTGATCAACGTACCCCTGCCTAATTCTCTGTTTCAAGGTGTCTTCGTCAAAGCAGTTGGCAGATTAAGGTCGGATTCCTTCTGTTCGTTCTTCTGCTTATGTTCAGAAAACACCCCGAGGAAGGACCCGCGAAATCTGAACAAGTTAATGCTGGTGATGATAATTATGCTTTCCTGGCGTCCAGCGAATAAAGTCGTAGTCTGGTTCACTTATCCACTGTTTCATTTCACTCTGCTACCTCTTGGTGATATTTTTTATCGCCAATACTTTCCCACTTTGTCCCTCCCTGTCGTAGAAATCCTTGTTGGTAATCGACGCGGCAGCCCCCCCCCCCTCCCGCGGCTGC